ATAATAATAATAATAATAATAATAATAATAATAATAATAATAATAATGATAATAATGCAGATTAATACATTACCACACAAATAATCATTAAGAAATAATTAAAAATAATCATAAAATCACCAGGAGCCAAGTGTGTTCCTCTTTACATTTAAAATAATAAAACAGTTTAATTAATGAAAATAATTATTGATTGAAGTTTGTGATTGTTGGAGTTTTCTTCAGTGAATCAAGTTGTCAGACACACGAAGTTGTTGTCGGGCCTTTAATCCCAAACTGCTGCACTGTTTTCTTAATGCTAAGCCCATAAATTCAGGGATCAGCCTGGCGGTGTGTGTGTGTGTGTGTGTGTGTGTGTGTGTGTGTGTGTGTTGGCGATGGTGGGGGTTTGGAGGCTTCTTGTCCGTCTCGTTGTTAAAAGCGTGACGTTTAAAATCTCAGGTAGGCACAAAGCTGCAGGAGGCTCAGCTGAAAACATCCAGCTTTCACAGAAACATGAAGGAAGACCTGCAGCATGAACAAGAAGAACAAGAACGAGAAGAAGAAGAACAAGAAGAAGAAGAAGAAGAAGAAGAAGAAGAAGAGTCAGCAGCTGCAGGAAAACTACAGCTCAGAACAGGAAGACAAACACCTCCAGGTCTGACTCTGATCTGAAGCTCCGGTAAGACAAACTACTTGATGGTTTCTAAAGTCAGACTATAGGTTTAAATTCAGGGCTTTCTATAGCTGAGCACAAAAAATAAATGTTCTCTTTGAGTGTGATCAAAGAGAATTACTCCTTCATTAATCCTTATTGCTTAATCAAGTACATGAAGCTGTTTTTCTGCTTTAACGAAGCTTCAATAAATAATCAAAGTGTTGTGAAGTGAGGAGCAGGCGTCCTCCTTGCTCCTCCTGCCTCCTCCTTGTTCCTCCTGCCTCCTCCTTGCTCCTCCTGCCTCCTCCTTGTTCCTCCTGCCTCCTCCTTGTTCCTCCTGCCTCCTCCTTGTTCCTCCTGCCTCCTCCAGTCAGTCACATCTGCTGCAGCGAACAGTAAATGTTGTACAAGTGCCACAAAACGGCATCATTTATTATGATTTAAATTAAAATGTGTTTTTTGTTCTAACAGTTCTTCCCTGAAGATAAAAATGTTTTATTTTTTAAGCGTTAACGTCCATTTCTTCAACACGTCATATTTTAAATTGAAGGCTGTTAATTGAAGTTAAACATGAAACCTGAACTGTGAGAGTTTGAGGAAATGTCAAAAGTATTTCTAACTTTGTTTTGGGCTTTTTCATCTGAACTTTTAATGATCCGTCAGAAAACTTTCCAGTTTGTCTCCTGAAACAAATGTAAACGTGTGAAAGGGCTTCAGGCCAAGCGTTCATTAAATAACGTCTCTTTAAGACCCGAGATCATCTCATGTTAAAAAATGATGATGTTGTTTTAAGAATTTGGTCAAACCTTAAAATAAAATTAGAATTTGATGAGATATTGATCAATTTCAGATCAATAATTTGTCCTGTGCCTCAGCTTCACATCAGACTTGAGCTCAGTATAAATGAGACATTCTGTCTAACATTAATTAGCTGAGGCAGCCATCTTGAATCAAGGTCAAGGTCAAGGTTTCTTTATTGTCATCACATGTTGTACATGTGGAATGAAATTGTGTGCAGGGTCCCAGTTACATCCAACAAAAATATAAAATGTAAAATAAAACAGTAATAAGATCTAAGACAGTTCCTGGAGAAACGTTGCCACGTGGCGGCCATTTTCAAATGATGCTCTGACCGTCCTGTGTGTTTGAGCTTGCTCTCCGCTGCCATCACACCACATGTCAACTCAAAAGAGTAAAACATCAACGGGTCAGTCGTGTTTTCTTGTAAACTATGGTAACCATCTTGATTTGGATTCAGTGTGTGATGGGAAAGGTTCCCAGGTTCAACCACAACAATCTGCTCTATGTGCAAAACCATCTGGGTTAAAGCCATTTCAATGCAGCTTTGGTGGCCATCTTGAAACTCTTTCTATTCATTATTTATTGGGCATTAGCTACTACCACACCACATTTCAGCGCCATATCTCTAAAAATGGCTGAATTACAGTATTTTTTCTTTTTAGCTCAGGCGGCCATCTTGGATATTTGATTTACAGCCAGAGTCTACAATGACTAATAAAAACAGTGCCTTTGTTTAAAAATTATGTCACCATGGTAACTCAAAACATCAATTAAAGTAATCACATGCACGGTGCTGAGCCGGTCGTTTTCATATAACATGTGTGGGGGTACATGTTCAGGCCGCATCAACGTTAACACAAGAGTAAGCTCTAAAGTTAAGAAACCTTTGTGAGGTGGATAATAACTGCCTTCCTATAGGCAGCCCCCAGTTAAAGGTCAAAGAATAAAGTTGGATGTAAAGTTAAGAAATCTTTGTCAGGTGGATAATAACTGCCTTCCTACAGGCAGCCCCCAGTTAAAGGTCAAAGAATAAAGTTGGATGTAAAGTTAAGAAACCTTTGTGAGGTGGATAATAACTGCCTTCCTATAGGCAGCCCCCAGTTAAAGGTCAAAGAATAAAGTTGGATGTAAAGTTAAGAAAACTTTGTCAGGTGGATAATAACTGCCTTCCTATAGGCAGCCCCCAGTTAAAGGTCAAAGAATACAGCTGGATGTAAAGTTAAGAAACCTTTGTGAGGTGGATAATAACTGCCTTCCTATAGGCAGCCCCCAGTTAAAGGTCAAAGAATAAAGCTGGATGTAAAGTTAAGAAACCGTTGTCAGGTGGATAATAACTGCCTTCCTATAGGCAGCCCCCAGTTAAAGGTCAAAGAATACAGCTGGATGTAAAGTTAATTGTTGAAGATCTGCTCCAGTAGTTGCTTTTAGGGAAATTCTCTTGAAGTCTGTGCACATGGCACACGGAGAGTCAGATAAAATATTATCCCTGCGCCTGTTCCTTCACTCCCCTCTGTGTTCTGCTCCTCTCGGCTCAGCGGGTCGGAGGAGCAGAACCTCTCAGTTTGCTCATGAATTAATTGCTCCACAAACCAGAAATGTGGAACCGCCAGGGTCCACGGCTGACTCTGACTGCAGCTTGTTCTGTAGCAAAGCACGAGCTGCTACTTTATTAAAATATCAAAACAAGCCGTGCCTTGTGGACGTGTTTATGGAGGCTGACCAGAACTTTACCCGACTAGTTCTGCAGAGCGTCCCGCGGGTCATTGTGTGGAGTTAACCCCCACCGTGCCTCCTAAAGGCCTCCTGCGGGAGCTGGTGATGTGGGCTCTCCTGACCTGACAAGCTGAGTGGGACCAGTCGTTTGCTCTTACAAAGCTCCAGTTGAAGCCAACAGAGTTCAGTCAGGAACTCTGGACGTGGCTCCGAGGAGTCGATGGGGGAGAGGGCGGACTCCACAAACCATCTTGTCACCATGAAACTGGTTGGTCCACTGTGAGTGTGCTGCTTGTGGGAAGGAATTTGTTGCGGCTCCTCGGACTGATGAAGTCCTTTGGATGAAAGATGAAATGTCTCAGCACAAGGAGGCCTGACTGAGCTCTGCTGGATTTATTACCTGGATCATTGAGCAGAACTCTGGTCCAGTTTGGAAGGTTTTAGAGGCTGCATGCACACTGCAGGTCTTCATGCTCAGTTAGGAGGTTTTTTCTTCTGAGATCAGATTTGTTTGTAGTCCATGTAATAATTTAACAATTTAATAATTTAGGTGCGACCACCATCAGACTCAGATCTGAAACCTGCATGGAAGACGTGACGTCACGCAGTAGACATGGCCAGCGCACATGCTACATGTGTGTATCTGCTCTGGATGTTGTGCAGTTTGATCCGACTAAATGATCCTGAGTCGTGCTCAGAGTTCATATTTGAGTTTCTGCTTCCTCTTCAGTCGAGCTCTAGTTTTAAAAACCACAGAAATGCACTCGGCTCCTCTGAGAAGGTGTTAAGGCCACTAACAGAGTCGTCTTGTTGTTTATTTTTCACTGAACTAACAACGTACTGTTAAAAAAACACATTTAAAATAAATATTAGATTTG